CCCCCCCCACGCCCCCACGGTGAAGCCAGGGACAGCTTGACGTGTGCAGCCCGCAGCCCTGTCACAGCCGCCTGGAGCAGGTGAAAGCAAGTGAAGCAGAATGACAAGCCAGCAGCAGACGCGGGGAAGGGGCTCTGAGAGACTAAAAATACCGCCTGGGAGAAGAGGAGGAGATAGGACAGTGCGCACTCCTGGGGGACGGCCAGCAGGAGGGGGAGGGGCCCACTGAAAGCCAGGGTCGGGTTTCACTCTGCAGGGCTGACCAGCGAGGTCACTTCCACACTCTCCTTGCACCTTGGTTTCCTCAACTGCAAAATGGGCACGTGCAGGGAACTCTTCCTGTGGCAGCGTTACTCCTAGAGTCTCCTGGAATCGCCCAAACTTGGAAACTCAGAATCCTGCTGGTCTTTTTCAGGGGTCACGTCCTCAGAGAAGCCCTCCCTGACCAACCTATATCTACTCACACCCTACTCCATCGTTCTCCTCTCCCTGACCTGCTTTGTTTGGTCCCAGCACTTAGCACCGTCTGACATTATATTATTCCGTCTCCCCAACAAGAATATAGAAAACACATCTATGTGGGCCACGCTATACTCAGAACCTGGCACAGGGCCAGCCACTTAAGGCGCACTTAATAAACCTTTGCTGAATCAATCAGTCAGTCAGCGAGTCAATCATCTTCAGTCCTTCTCCTTCATTCTTTCTACCCAAGTGCTACGGTTTCTTCCCTCCAAGGCCATCTTGGGCTTTGCATTTCCCTTCTATTCCATATTTTAATCCAGGAGCTCATCAACGGACCCCTGAACTGCTCCAAGAATCCACCAGCTGGGGTCCTACCTCTGCACTGCCCTTCCCAATCCAAATGCATGACCCCCAGACCAGTTAGACAAAAGGAGTAAATGACAGAGCCCATAGTCATTTATTCATTCATTCATTCATTGCCATCTAAAGACCACTGACACATCCAACAGCAACCTGGTGCTAAATCCATCAGGTTCACCTCATGCTCATGCTATGTCCTTGTCTTTGTTTTTATTGATCCCTGTCAGGGACCAGCCTCTGCTCTGCCACCCACACTGGTCCATGCTTTAGCCCCACTAACACCCACTCCTCCAAGAACCTTCCTCCTGCCAAATTGTGTAAAAAGTAAAAAGAGCATCAGCGTTAAAGTCAGACAGGCATAGGTTTAAACACCAGCCATGTGTCTTTAGACAAGTTACTTCTCCAAATTTTAATTTTCTCAACTGTAAAATGGGCACAGAAACACCTTTACTGCAGAGTTGCTGAGAGCGTTTGCGCCAAGAGCGTGTGAAACCACAGGGGATAGCGCCCCGTCCACAGGAAGTGCTCGATAAATTATTTCCCCTTCTTGCCCAAGCTGATCTCTTCTCTCTCCTCCGAACTTTTATTGCATTTCGTTAGTGCACAGGCAGAAGCCTGCTGTTTTCTAATTGTATCATGGCTATTAGTATTTTCTCCTCAATTTAATCCCGAGGTCCTTAAAAGCAAAGACGGCATTTCATACGTTATTATGAGCCCCCAACACTTAGATCTATGCTGGGCACACAGCATCCAAAGCTCTTGCACATGTATGAATTCAATTCATTCCTACAATACACCGTGAGTTACAGAGGGTAACATTATTCCCATTTGGCACTCGATGAAACCATCTCTAAAAGGGTTTATGATTCGTCCACAGTCACAGGGTCAGTAGAAGGAGCAGGACCTAGGTTTCCAGACTCTATTCTCTAAACTTTTAAAGCTGACTGTCCAAAAGAAACCAGTCCTCCCTCTCTGAGAACTGTCCACCCATTCCACTCCTCATCATTCAGGTACTGGTAAGCCACGACAGCCATGATTGTACCACATAGCCCAGCCCCACTGGCCACAGTTGATTGGCTGGCTCAGGAGTCACATGACCTAGGCTGGGCCAATCAGATTCTACCTATAAAGGATTTGGAGCTGGGAAAATGACTCCAGTGGTGAGCACACACACTTGAACTGGCAACCCATCTATTCAGGAGCTAGGAAACCACGCACACAGAGAAGCAGGAAATCGTCTTTTGGTAGAAAAATAAAGCAGTAGAGGCCACCCGCTGCCTGGGTTCCTTATTCTTTCCCAGTCCTAAGTCCCTGCCATTTTCTTGCCCTTCCTAAGGGTTGCATCTTCAAAGATTGCTCATATTTGCGGCAATGACCCAGCAGCTTTTCAAATAGTCCACATTTTTTGCCGAAGCTGTTGCGTTTCTTGCAATTAAAAGACCCTCGACTAGCACACGCTCAGAGAGCTAGTTCCTCTATAAGAGTTGTTCTCAAGTGATGGTCCAGGGTTCCCTGGGATCTTTGAGACCCTTTCTGCTATCAAAACTATTTTCGTAACAGTACCAAATAGCACTAGAATGTTACTTGAAACTTTACACTCTCAATTCTCTCACAAGTGCACGGTGAGAGTTTTCCTGAGGCTACCTGACATGATAACGTCATCACTCCGTGTGCTGGTGTATTCTGAAGGTTAACATTTTTTTCTGCCTTAATTTCTAGTATGGTAAGTATCACTGGTTATAAACCACCAGAACAATAGCTTTGGGGGGCTCTCAGTAATTTTTCAGTAAAGAATTCCTGAGAAACGCCCCTGCAAAAACAAAACAAAACAAAACCAAAAACCCTGAGAACCACAGCTCCACATCCTTGCTGTTTAAAGTGTGGCCCTCAGACCAGCAGAGCTGGCATCACCTGGGAGCTTGTTAACCAGGCAAAATCTCAAAATCTCAGCCCTCCCCCCCACCCCCCAGACCCACTGTGTTAGAATTTGCACTTTAACAAGATCACCATGTGCTTTGTATGCACATTACAGTTTGAGAAACATTGGACTGCACCACTGTGCATCAATACATGGTTACTGATTGATTGATTGATTGATTGATTGACTGATTGATAATACTCACATGGATGCCTTCCAGCAATTTCATGAATTTTAAAGAGCCTGGATTTCTTGGGCTAAAGTTACCATAGACACAGTCATTAATTGTTGGGCCTGAATTTCCCTCACCCCTCAGGGTATCTCCATTGTCAAAGCTCCAAGAGTTGTTCCTTTACACCCTCTGAACAATGTCTAGCCTTTATTAAGCACTCAGAATCGGCTGTGTATTATTACTCACATTTTAATTATGAAAAACTGAGGCCCAGAGTGCTTACATAATTTTATCAAGATGATGAGGTTAACATTACTTCACCCAATGTCTAGTAAATAAATGGTGGAGCTGGGATTTGAACTCCTGGTTCAAACAAGGCAGAGGCTGTCCTTATAATCACTACCTTACCCTTGGCTTCCTCAGTGGGCACACAGAGCACCTGGGGATCTTGTCAAAGTGCAGGCTCTAATTTGGTCCATCTAGGGTGGAGTCCAGGGTCTGGCATGTTTGACAAGCTCCCAGGTGATCCTGAGGCTGCAGTCCAGGAACCACACATTGAGTGTGTGTATGGCCTTGCTGCCTGTCAGTCCTCACAACAGAAATGCTCTCTAGGAACCAGCAGCAGCTTGAATATGCCACTTAAAAGGGTAGTTTAACTGAGGCTGTGGGTGAGGCAGCTTCACACTTTTATTCCAGCGCAGGCAGGTTCACCCACACTCTTCTGGGTCATCGCATGGCTTCCACCATGGGTGACAGGTGCACAGTGTCACTGCACAACATAGAGCCCTTCAGCGGCCCCGTGGCTAGCATCAAGTAGGCCTGGAGTTAGTCTAGGCCCCATCCAGCGCCCTTACTGTGTTCAAGCCTTCTCTCAACTCCCACAAAGTTGAAATATAGCTTTTCTTTCTTTCTCATCATTCAGTCATTCATTCAACATGCTGGTCTTTGGCCATATTATGGGCACGGGGCCAGGCATGACTCAGTGGCAAAAGCACAGACCTGTGTTCGCATCCCGACTTCTTTTTAATTCATTTTTTAAAATCTTATTATTATTTTTTTTTAGAGAGAGAGTGTGTGCACAAGCAGGGGAGAGGGGTAGAGGGAGGGAGAGAGGGAGAGACAGAGAGAGAATCTCAAGCAGGCTCCATGCTCAGTGAGGAGCCCAATGCAGGGCTTGATCCCACAACCCTAGGACCATGACCTGAGCTGAAATCAAGAGTCAGACACTCAACCAACCGAGCCACCCAGGCGCCTCCTGACTTCTTTTTTACTAGATTAGACAACCTTGAGCAAGTTACTTAATCTCTCTGAGAGTAATAATACCAATTTATGGGAACAAAAGAAGTGCTGGCCAATAGAAATATAACATGAGCCACACACGTCATTCAAATTTTCTAGTAACCACATTTTTCAAAAAGAGTAAAAAGAAAAACAGGTACAATTAATGTTACTAACATATTTTATTTAATCCACGATATCCAAACTATTATATTAATAGAAAAATATTCATGAGATGCTTTGCATTCTTTCCTACTAAATGTTCAAAATCTGGGGCATATTTGACATTTACAGCACATTTTACTTGGAACTGGCAGTATTCTAAGTTTTCATTGTAAAGAGCCTCATCACATGGCCCAGGGTCCAGAAAGTACACGGTGAGTACACAGTGACTGCTGCTGTCACTGCTGTGTTCTTACAGAGGAGACACCCAGCTCATATCCATGCACTTTTGAGTTCAACCATCTAGATTTAGCTTGGGAATAGAGAAAACATGAAGAGGACCACTCTCTACAATCTACTCAAGGAACTTTGGTTTGGGGTGAGGGAAGGGATAGAAGCAAGCCTGGAGGCACACAGCTCTTGGAGTTTGCAAAAGGCCCAGAAATCCTAAAGCTTCCTCCAATGACGGAATTGGGTATTCACTATTTTGTAGCCCCCAGTGAAGTCATGGGTCTAGGCAAGTTTACCCATGGCTGCTGAAGCAACCAGATGGAAACTTGATGGGGAACCTTTTAAGGAGAGATCAGGCTGACAATACCCAAATCCACTGATCCATTTTCCCCCGAGGGCAGAACAGCTGGACAACATGTACCTCCTCATGTAATGCAGTAAGAAGCACAGGGAAGATTCTTGCCCCACCAAAAAAAACTTACACATACACAAACACCTTGAATCTAATCGGGTCTCTAATCAAACCACCAGTTTTCAGAAAATAAAGAGGATACATTAAATACCACCAATCTGCCAAACCTAGAATGTGGGAAATTCTACAAGACGAACCACCCAAGTTTTTCAACAAATAAATGATGTGGAGAAGAAAAAAATATGTATGTGTGTGGTGGGGTAGAGCAAGGAAGAGGTATGGAACAAAAGAGGCTTATGTTTCAAACCAACCAACTGTAAAAAGGCACTTTTGAGGAAATCATCAGGGACTAGATAGTAGATATTAGAGTAGTTGTTATTTGTACTGGGTATAATAATGATATTTGTTAGAGTTATACTCTGAGGTATGTGCAGGTTAAATGACAAAATGCCTATGACTTCCTTTCACATATTCTTCCAAAAATTAAATAAATATATAAACCAACAACAAATGGGAGTAAAGAACAAATAAAACAAGTTCATTACTGAAGCTGGCTGGCGACTATAAAAGGCGTGACGCATGACAGGGTTGCCCTGCCCAGCCTGAGAAATTCCAGCCCCATCAGCAAGTCAGAGCATCTGAGCTCAACGTGGGCAAAACTGGACTGCTTGCACCATTCACCTAGGAACTTGCTTATAATACAGCTTTCCAGGCCCTACCCTAGACGTCCTAAATCAGAACTTCTGGGAGTAGGGTCCTGGGAATGTGCATTGCAATAGGCGCCCCTGGTGATCTTGATGTATACTAAAGCACAAGAAGCACGGGAATAGAGAGGCTTGCCATAATTATCACGGGACCCAAACCCACAGGGCACCCAGGACTAGCCTCTTATCCATGGGAGGGGTAAGGATCCTGTCCAGAGACTGAAGGAGCCAGAAGACTAAAGACCAATTCTCTAGATGGAAAGAAAGCTTATCCTTGGAGGTCCCTTGTCACCTGGTTATTTTCAGATGCCCTTGCAGACCCCTGAGGATGACTACCAAAAGCCTACTGGGCTTGGATACGAGCACTCTGGAGAAGCAACCTGCATGTCTGAGAGCACCACTCAGGCTTGGGTCCCTCCCCTCAAGAACCACTCCCATAGGTTTATACCTTCCACCTTGGATTTTTCATCTGCCCATTTCCCAGGCTCCTGGCCTCCTCTTGCCACATCCCGGGCCCACACCAAAAGCCCATGCCCCACCCACTTGGAAACCATTCATGGCCCCCACGCTTTCCCAGCATGATTCTACTCTCCACCTAGTGAAATATACCCCAAAGCAGGTGTCCTGACCTTGTCACTCTGGGGCAGCCCCAGGGATAGGAAAATTCAGCCTTCTTTTAAGACCAAGTAATGGGACCAAAAGTCACTTTCTCCTCATCCTCTACCCTTCTCCAGACCCCACCCCAACCCTCCCAGGACCCTCACTGTCCCCTCAGGTTACCTTCTCCCACTTCCTCTCCCTCCTGTAAGGGCTGAACTCTTACAGGCTATCACCAGGGGTCAGAGCTCTTCTGGCATTTTCTTCTCTGAGTATTCATCAAGGGAGGCCGTGTACATGAGCTTTGTCTGCTTGAAGTGGGACTTTGGGTCTGGGGACCAGTTGTGCTTCCACCCTCAGTCTCCCTTATCTCTTCCCTCCATCATGGCGTCTCCAGCTTACCCGTCCTCTGGTCCTATTCTTTCGCTTGGGAATATCCTCTTCTAAATCTTCTTCTTCATTTCCTTCTTCTACATTTTCATCATTTTCCAAAACCCTCTGAAAAGACAAGAAAATAAACAAAAGAGTTGAGAAATAAAATGCAAAGGAGAAAGCCATCCGGGGGTGATTTGGGTGGGGGGGGGTGTCTGTTTTGTTGTTATGTTTTAACAAAACAAGACGCTGCCATTGCTTGGGAAGCAGGGCCTCCGAGATGCTGCCCAGAGTCTGAGCTCTTGGCGGTAACAACTCTCTCAAACCCTTGGGCCCCTTCCAGCCCAATCCTCCCAGAACACTGACTTTTTTCAACTATTTTTACCCAAGAAACATTTTCTAAAAAGAGAATACTCTGGTAGAGGCACTTGTCTATGTGGACCCAAGATGTTTTTCAAAACTTAACTTTTTTAATGTAATTTTCCTTTGTTCCTAAATACGAAAATATGTTCCTTCTTTCTCTGCCATTCTGGAACCCTGCCCTGTTTGATGAAAACAAGTAACTTCCTGTTCATCTGACCAGAATTTGACATTAATGTGTTGTTCTTAATCGTCCATTGTTTTTTTTTTAAGAAAAATGGGTTTTCATTACAGCACATTACTTGTAACGAAAGCTTAAAGATCACGAATTTAATATATATAAACCAACACTCTCCAATAGCCCTGTGAGTCACATAGCAGCAGAGAATCCAATTCCATTTTACAGGTGAATAAACTGAGGCTAAAAGCAGTTTTGGTTGCCCAAGGTCATACAGTGAATCCAAGACCAAAGTCAAGTCAGGTTCATCAGCCCAGAGTTTTCTGTTCATTTCTCAGCCCTATGCCTGAAGATTGAGGTATATTATGTAGACCCTTCCTGTAGGGACATGAACACTTCATTCCCTTTGGGAGTGGTGAGGACAGGTAAGGTGTGTACTTCTAGATTTGGGGGAGAAATGAAAGACTGTGGCAGAGGACCCAGCTCCCCAAAGTGAAAGGGGGATGGAGCTCACTGGACTCCATGTCTGGGGCCCTAGGAGCTTCTTTATGGACTCACTGTGTGACTTTGGGTGAGTCATCATGTCTTCATGCCTCAGTTTCCCCAATTATAAAATAGGAATTCATTTATTCATTCAATCAACAAACATGTGTCTAGTGCTGACTACATGGCTGTACTACATGCTAGACAAGCCACAGAATGACTACAGTCAGGCCTGGCTCTAAAAAGATTCCACAGTACAGTGAAGGGAAAACAGATTTAAATAAAAACCACAACCATATAGTTACTACTGCCATAAATGCAGTGATGGGCAGGTGCAAGCTGCTAGGAGAGGCTGTTAGAGGGAATTTTACCTAATCTGAGGGTCAGGAGAGGCTTACCTGAGGAAGTGACCTAAGAGAGTTGAGATGTAAAGGATGAGCAAAGACTAGCCTGGGGAATGGGGATGGAGGGCACAGTGGGAAGGAAAGTATTCTGGGCAGAGGGAACATCATGAGCAAACTCCCTGAGGGAGGAAGAGGAATTTGGCTTGTCCACGTTGCAGAAAGAGGCAAGTGTGACTAGAGCTCAGTGACTCAGAGAGAGACTCGTATGAGATGAAGCTAGAAAAAAGGCAGGTACCATATTATACATGATAACAGCATCCATCCATGCTTGTGATGGCGTGATAATCACACAAGCTATGAAAAGGCTTATAAGCAGCACACACTGCACTGACATGTGGTCTCACCATCACTGTTCAGGTAGCCTCCAGGACAACACCTCTGGCCTCTCTTCCAAGCAGGAAGCCCAGGAGTGAGTTTCCAGGTACCTTCTCCCACTGCCTTCATGTTGGAGTTCTCTCCCAACCACAGGGGTTCACATAAGGTCTACATAATATACCTCAATTTACTAGATCAAAACAGATCTAGTAAATCCTCCGGCTTCTCTACTGGGCTTACTTGGGAAGCCATCAGCTGACAGCACATGGGGGTTCTCAAGGCCAACCACAGCCATCCAACAGAGAAGCAGCTCTGTCTGCTAGACACGACCGGTGGCCCATAGCTAGAAAACATCGGCCCAGGTCCCAAGCAAGCCTCCTAGGCTCTCTGCATCTTGGCTCCCTGAACCATCAGTGGGAACACAAGTGAAAGTCAAGCAAGACAATGACAAGTCAAATGCTCTGCAGACTTTAGTGAAAAGATGCAGTGTAAATATCAGGTGTTGTTGTTATGACTGTTGTTGCTGTTCAAACAGCTGTCCTGCCAACTTCCGGGTCTTGAAGTCATTTAATCATGGCGAGTTCCGAGTGCCTCATATTTAAAGGTCATTGCCTCTGGCATCTTGTACAATATGACTCCACTCTCATTTTTTATTATGAAGGGATTTATGACCTGCAATATGGACTCCGGGTTGGAAGATAATACACTGGTTGAAGGCTGCTGAGTTAGTCTCCAGGAGTGCCGCCTGGCCTCGATGTCCGGAAGTAAAATGACTTCTCCCTCCCTCTTCCCATTGGTCTCCCTGTGTCTTGAGAACCCCTATGCTGTGCCCCAGGCTTCAGATGTGACAGCAGCCACCCCAGTGTGTTTGCATTTCCTGCCATGTGGCCCTGACACCCAGAAGCCTCTCTGCATAACTAGGGAGGAGCCAGGAGTCCCTAACAAACAAAGCTCGCATTCAGGGCTCAGGAAGCAGAGGGGGCGTCCTGTGCAGAGGAGTCGAGGGCCGGGATCCAACTTAGATGCAGCTGATCCCCCACTAACATACTTACATTCTCTGTCCAAGGACATTATCTGGAAAATAAACACATTTTAAAATAACTTTTCTCCCTGTTACTCTAAACAGTCTTTACGGTGATGATAACAATGGTTTGTGGTTGTGTTTAAAAAAGAAGAAGGAATGCCTTTTAAAGACTCCATTATCTCTGGCCTGGAACACTGCAAAGCCTCCTAACCGATTTCTCTCCCCACCACCGGCCCCGTGTCCAGTCTCCTTTCCAGGCAGTAGCCAGAGGGATCTTGAAGAAACACATATTCGCTCCCCTGGTTAAAATGGCTTCCTTTTTCACTCCCATGAAATCATGTCCTGAGAAGCCAGAGTGGTTTGACCCTGCCGGCCCCTCCTACTCCATTCTAGGCCCTTCCCCCCACCGGCACGGTCCTCTAAGCCACACAGGCCTTCTGTTGAATTTTTTTTTCCCGTTTTTCTTTTTATTTCTTGACCTACAGTATTACATCAGTTTCAGGTGAACAACATCATGATCTGACATTCTCTGGCAACCACCAATCTGTTCTCTGTATCTATAAGTCTGGTTCGGTTTTGTTTGTTCTGTTTTTTAGATTCCACATATAAGGCAAATCGTGTGGTATTTGTCTTTCTCTGATTTATTTCACTTAGCATAATGTCCTCAAGGTCCATCCGTGTTGTCACAAATGGTAAGATTTCATTCTTTTTCAGAGCGGAGTAGTATTCCATTGTGTATATATACCACATCTTCTTTATCCATTCAGTTGGCCATCTCTATGTCTTCTTTGGCAAAATATCTGTTCAGGTCCTCTGACCATTTTGTAATTGAATTGTTTGGGGGTTTTGTTGTTGTTGTTGTTATTGAGTTCTATGAGTTCTGCATCTTCTGTCTGTTCTTTCAAAACTATAAGCTCAGACCCATCTCGAGGCCTTCACACACACCGTTCCTCTACCCATAAAGCTCCTCCCCACAGCCTCACTTCACTTGCTCCTCCCCATCCCTTAGGACTGAGGTTAAATCTCTTATCTCCCATAGGACACTACCTAGAATCTGTCCCTCCTCTCATATTGAATCTTCAGACTCTGTTCTTTTCATGGTCATTTATCCTGAAACGCAATTATTGCCTTTGTTTATGTGTTTTCTGTCTATATATCACACTAGAATATAAAGGTGAACAGATGGGACTGGTCTCTCTTGGCTTCTCTGTCTCCCCAGAACCTAGCACAGTGCCTGCTTAGAGGAGGCACTCGATAAACTTTGGTGGAATGAATGAATTTAAAAAATGGAACAAATACAGTCTATATACTACATATGTGCCTTATTTTACTAACCAAAGCCAATAAGAACGTGTAAACTCATTTGGCTCATGGTCCTGGTTTTGGCTTCTAGCACAGTAAATGGCACACCTCTGCACATATCAGACATTCCATTTACGTAGGAGATGTTAGTGATGATGATAATTCCACAGTGATGACCCATATACTGGCCCAAGGCTGCCTGAGAAGAACCCGAACCAGCTTGAAAGGGTGAGACTACCTATCACTAGAGCATCAGGGCTTCTGGGCAATGGCTCTGTCCCTTCCACTGATTCTGTGAAATTAATGCTAGCTGCACAATACAGATGTGACAGACCTTAACTTCAAAGACCTGAAAGTCCAAAATCTGGGGGAAAGAGGGGAATACATGAATAGGGAAAAAAAACAAACAAGAAAGGACTAGGCACCCTAAATGTCAGTGACAAGAAGAGATCCCTCTGGCTGTGGGGCGATCAAGAAAGGCTTCATGAGGTAGGTGGTATTGGGGCTGAGCCTAACTGATGGGTGGAATTTGTACACATAGAGTAGAAGAAAAAATTCACCACATAAAGGATACAGCATGACCACAGGCACAGAGGGAAGAAGACTGAAAAAGAGAAGAGCTCAGGAGTGAGGGGAAATAAGCCTGAAAACTAGGTTAGGAGCAGAGAGAGGAGCCCCAAGAAGATCAGACGCATCATTTTGGACTGACCTAGTAGGAAACAAGTGTTTCAGCTAAGTTTTTTAAACAAGAGATTGGCACAAGCTGAGCTTTCTTTCGGCATGAAAGATCAGCTAGCAAAGTAGGACATGTTAGAGAGGGGAAGGACGGGGGATGGGGTGACTCCCAGGAATCTGTTCACTTGCACATCCGTTCAAGAGATTATTTATTGTGTACCTACTACGTGCTAGGCACCGTTTGCATGCTTCAGATATATTAGTGAACAAGACAGACAAAGAATCCCACCCTTGAGTTTACATTCTATTGGAAGAAAACAGAAAATAAACAATACATAACAAATCAGCAAATTACAAAGTATGTTAGATAGCGATCAAAGCTATGGGAAGAAAAAAAGAAGAAGCAAAAGAAAGCAGAGTAAGGGAATCGGGGGCGCTGGGGGGCAGGGAGGACACAGGATGTGGTAGCACACACAGTGATTGGGGTAAACTTCATAGAGAAGAGACAGGAGCACAAAGTGAAGAAGGGGAGGGTGAGGGCCCAGCTGAGGTCTGGGGAGAGGACTCTGCAGGCAGAGGAAATGGGCCGAGCAAAAACCCCGAGGCAAAAGAGTGCCTGGTGTGTTCTAGAAGGAGCAAAAAGACACCAGCGTGCCTGCAGCAGAGTGAGCAAGGAAAAGGCGAAGCAACCGAGTCGGAGAGGTAAGGGGCCTTGACTTTTTATTCTGGGACAACAGGAGCCTGTGCAAGTTTGCAGGCCCAGTAACAACAGGATCCAACTTAGGTATTAAAGGGCTCCCCCTCAGCCACTAGCAAGGGCGTCACTCAGAAAGCAATTGCAGGGGCACCCGGGTGGCTCGGTCGGTTGAGCGTCCAACTTGGGTTCAGGTCATGATCTCACGGGTCATGAGTTCAAGCCCCGCATCGGGCTCTGTGCTGACAGCTCAGAGCCTGGAGCCTGCTTCAGATTCTGTGTCTCCCTCTCTCTCTCTCTCTCTCTCTGCCCCTCCCTGCTCACACTCAAAAATAAATAAACATTAAAAAAATATTTTTAATAGAAAATAATTGGAGCCCTTCAGACCAGAGATGACAGCAGCCGGAACCAGGGCAGTAGCAGAGGGACCTGTTAAGAAGAGTCTGTGCTCTGGATTTGGGTTGTGGGCACAGCTCACAGGATTCCCAATGAACTGACCGTTGGGTGTGACAGACGACTCCAAGGGGCATTAGATGCATGGAGGTTACAGCTATTAAGGATTTTTACTAGGGCTGTAACTCTCAGGAGGAGAGGAGGCAGCCAATAGAAGCCACGTTGTGACATGGAGAAGACCGGACCATTCATCTGAACACGGGATGGCAGAGAAGGAGGCCAATTCACTGCTTCGTTCTACATCTTTATTGAGATTCGACTGCCGGGCACGTGCAAGTCCCCAAGGGGACAACGGTGAACACAACAGCATGCTCCCTGACTCAGTGGAACGCCCTGACTTGCTGGTACTTAGGAAGCAAACCAAAACTTTAACTGTTATTGCTTTAATTATAACTTCAATGAATTAATATGCAAATACTAAACATTAAATTAGATATACAATTAATAATTGTATATAATTGTATATACAATTGTATATAATTGTATATACAATTGTATATAATTAATAATTAATAAATATGTAATATGATATATAATATGTGTCACATAAAATATAAAGTATAATAGAATATACATTTAATGTAAATGTAATTTGATTTTAATAATTGAATTATATTTCATTATTAATGCTATTGTTTAATATTTATATTAATTAATATTACTACAATATTCTGTGCCAACCGTTGTATTCAAGACCAGAGATTCAAGGCAGATAAATGAGAAATGGTGAGAGTGTACCATTAAAATCTTGAGTAGGAAGAGCCCCATAGTGCTGGGAACAGAGGGTGCTAAACAAACAGGGAGGGACAGGACCCACCAGCCCTGCCTGAAGGGTGACTCCTACACTGGCCTTGAAGGAGGAGAGGGTGCTGTGGACTAGAGCTGAGTACAGGGTGTGAGCAAGTGTCAGCAGAGGGCAAGGGCTCACTCAGAACAAGCTGGTGTAGACAACCCCTGAGGTTTCAAGACTGAACTATATGCACTGTTTGCTCCCCAGGGGCGAGGACTCCCTCTATCTGGTTCACCATCGTGTCCCCAGGACCCAGCACGGCACCTGGCACACAGCAAGCAAAAAATATATTTTGAGTAGACACGAAGGGAGAGGAATAATGACTTCTTCTGGGGGGTGGGGGACAGGTTAAATTAGAAAAGAATTTGCGAGTCTCCCAGCAGCAATGCCATGGGGCAGTTGAGGAGGAGGACCCCCAGCCGGTGCCAGAGTTCTGGAAACATGATGGTGACGCTCTGGACACACTCTCCACAGCGGGCACGGAAATACCTGTATTTCCTGAATGCTCTCCTCTTCTCTGGCATCCACCTTCTTCTCAACACCCTCACCACGGAGCAAGGCTTCCAGTGTGGTGCTTTCTGAGGTGAAGCCATCCTTTTTCAGGGGCAGCTCCACTTCTGAAAAGTAAGGACAGAGAAGCAAGGTCAGGTCATTAGAAGCAGGAGGGACAGGAGGGACAGCGGGTGGCCCTGAGGGCACGCAGGAACCAGAAGCTCTGGGTAGGGCTAGAGACAGCCTGCGCTCTCTCCTCTGGGTGGAACAGGAACACCGGAGTTGGGTCCGGCTTTTTCATCTCCTGTTCACAGTCCCAGAGACAGATTCCAACCCTGCTGATACCCGCACAGACAGCAGAGGCAGCACAGAAATGGTTCCAGATGGACAGTGACTATGGGCAAGGTGCATCTAGAGAGTGAGGGCAACAATGCCCAGTACCCCACAGGGCTGTTTTGTGGGACATAAATATGTTGCTTTACCTTGAAGTGCTTTGAAAACTCTACAGCAATACACCAACATTAGCCTCGAGTCTTACCGTTCTCTCCCTCTACCCCAAGTCTTATCTGGCAACTCCATGACCTCCCCTCAGCCACCCTGCCTGCCCAGCTCCAGGTTGCTCCACGAGAAGCTACTCTGGGACGCCTGGGTGGCTCAGTCAGTTGAGCATCTGACTCTTGATTTCGGCTCAGGTCATGATCCCAGGGTCATGGGATTGAGCTCTGAGTCAGACTCCACACTGACTTAGTGTAGAACCTGCTTAAGATTCTCTCTCTCTCTCTCTCTCTCTCTCTCTCTCTCCCTCCCTCTGCTTCTCTCCCCCACATGTGCTCTCTCTAAAATAAAATTTTAAAATATTTTTTTTAATTTTAAAAAAGAAGCTGTTTCAACCTCAGAGAGGCTGTTCTCATCAAGGGATACAAAGACCACTAAAGCCAAGGGAAAAGAAGGGGGAGCACAGATACCTAACAGACCCCAGATCGATGGCTGGGGGCCGCAGTGCCTGCACACCAGGGCACTTTTTCTGAAGATGTCACAGTTTGATTGGCTACCTAGGGCTTGAGGTCATAGGGCCCGCTGAGCAGTGGTGGCCAGAGTCAGCCCTACGTGTGGAAGAGACCAAGAGAAAGAAGCTGAATTCCTTTCTCAAGATGTCCCCCAAACTCTTAACCCAAAGGAAGATTTTTGGTTTTGTTTTTGTTAAATTAAAAACCGAAACCTCAGGTATAGGTGATCATATTTTGATTTGCTACAAAACATTCATCCAATCTCCTCTAATTCTGTACCTCATACCCCCATGGCAATTAGAGGCTTGGCTCCTATCCTGTTATCAGGTAAGATGAATACAGGAATATGAGGGATGGGTGCCCGAGAAAATAGTCAGGGGGAACAAATGGCCTAGGTGTAGGGGGAATTGAGAGTTTAGTGTAGGAACTATTGACAGAGGTGTGGGCAGGAGCAAGGGAACAACATGGAAGGGTGAAGCATCCCAGTGGGGAGCCATTACCACTGCTATTCATGGAGGGACAGAGGGAGAGCCTTTGCAAGAATCTGGACAGATCTGTGACTCGCAGCCTCACTGAGCTCATGGGCAAAAGAACCAAGCCCAACCTCTCTCTTTCATCCTTGTCTTCCTCCTCTGCCCTCCCATTGGCCAACCTCAATTAGACGCCAGAAGGCAAGGGAGCCTCAGTGATGTGGCATACCAAGGTCGGTTTCCCAGGATAAAGGAGGCTAAAGGTCAGTGCCCCAGGATGAAGAGTGGATCGGGGGGAGAAATGGAAATAACAGCACAATCAAGTCCTCCTCTGCTGGGCTTATTCTGACTCAGATGGAACTCCACCCACCCCCTTCCATCTCCTCAGAACCAGATGTAGGCTGACCAGTCCACAAGAAAGAGGCGCTACGGTATCCCAGCAAAACGGAAGAAACCAACCCCCCGGGAGAAAATGGTGGGAAGAAGAAAGAGCATCTAGAGTTCCTAGAGAGATAAGATCTTTGGGATTTTTCTTACCAAAAAAAAGGCAAGCAAAGGAGAAGTACTCCACCAAGAAGTACTACCACCAAATCAACCACCTCTGAAAGTCATCCATATCCCTGTTCATCCAACAAATATTTACAAAGAACCACGGTGTTACCACTAGGCCCGCGGGAGGTTTACCAAATGCAGACGGCCCTGGCTTTTGGGTGGTTCACAATCTAAGGAGACACTAAACACGGCATGCAAAATAAATACGCAATTACAAAGTGTCATAAGTGCAATAGGGGGAAACAACAGAGGGAAATGTGAAGGAAGAACACTGTGGGGGGGGGCAGGGTTTACTTTCGATCAGGGGGTCAGGGAAGGCCTACGTGAGGAAGTTATGTTAAAGTTGAACGTCAGAGAAACAGTCCACTGTCTGCTTTAATGAGTTCAGAGCGTGCAACTCCAGAGCCTACTCTTCCTCCCAAGTCAAAAAAAGGCTTCCAAGCGTCTGATACAAAACAATGAAAGCATGTTGCCCCATGTCCTGTCCTCGCTGAAAAGAGAACAGCTGGTCACCATCCTTCGAATTTATCATAATTATATATATATATATATATATATATATATATATATATATATATATATATATATATGAAGTTCCTATTTTAGTATCCCCCTTAGCCTCCTCAGCACCAAACAAATCCTATTTCCAGAATTGCACAGCATTTTAGAGCTGAAAAAAAAGCCTTACAGATGATCTGCTTTAATCATCTCATTTTATAAACAAGTGACCTGAGGCTCAGAGAAGTTAAGTAACTTCACAGAAAGCCACACAGCAGAATACGAATGCAGCCGAAGGATCCTTCCTAGAGGCCACGGAGATCATGAAGAGAGCCCCACTTTACATATCCTATTTAGCATTCTGCAGGCCCAGGATGAGCCTCAGTGGGCGTTGATATGTTTGTGTACATGCAGCGTGCTTGGTGCATAGTAAACATTCAAACTGTGGCAACTGTTATTGCTATGTATTGTTTAACCCCCACCCCCACCCAAGAGGTGAGCACAGTTACTATCCCATTTCACAGATGAGGACGCTGCAGCTTAGGGAGGTATAGAACCTGTTTAGTGTCACATAGTTATTAAGGGGCAAAGCCCAGCCTGGACCCCAATCTGCCTCCAGAATCCACTCACATACTCTCTAGCTTGTACAGACGTCACCTTGTCTCTCTTTGGTTCTTCCTCGAAGAGCCCTTTTCCAAACCTTTGTGCATTTCCACTACATCTCTAAACTCTCTCCATAGTTTTCATATTTCGAAATACAAGGCAGATCGTTGCTGAAGCTGAGGGCGGGTCTGTGTCATGATTCTGGGCTCTGCTCTATATGAACATTCCCATGTGGTATTCACCCCTTCTGCAACAATACTGACCCCACACGGAACTTTCCATCCATTGTGAACTTCCTCCTTCTCCTTCTCCCTCTTCCTCCCCTGCTAAATACTCCTCCATCCTATTTTTCCATAATTCAGTCTACTCTCTTGGTCCTCTGGTCATTTACCAGATGGGCACGGTAAAAGAACCAAGAGCAAAAAGAGAACCAAATTGGGAACAGTGAAATGGGCTCCCTAAATGCAAAGAGCCAGAAGGGACTTCCAATAGCCTTTAGCAGACAATCCCTCAGGAGGAAAGCGTAGCACAGAAATATAAAGAGCCCTTCCCAGGGTCACGGAGAAACCTAGTGGCATCATCCTTGCCTAATTACCAAATATTTGATTGGCACATAGAAGTTCTGCATTCAGATGGCCCTGTCGTCAAGCTCCCGCCCTGCCTTGTACTAGCTGAGGGACCACAGGCTAATGACTCAGACCTCCGAGTCTCTGTTTCCTTATGTGTTAAATAAGGATGATCACAGTGCTTCATAGGGTTGGTGTGAAAATTAAACAAGGTAATACACTGCCTAAGGAAACTCTGAAAGAGCCACAAAAAACCCAGCGTGGAAACAGAGTGGAAAATGAGGCTTATCAATTCTTGTTTTGATTTTGGTTTTCCTATTCAAAACTTATCATTCCAAATTCGATCGTATATGTAAAGAACGTGGGATGGTCCAAGCGCCCTGTAAATGCTCCAAGTAACCATCATCAAAGTTAGAATAATCCTGATTTTAATGTCCAACGGAAACAAAATGCAAGCTATTTACAAAATTTCAGGCTTTCCAGCAGCCACATTTTAGAAAGCAAAAAGCAACAGGTGCAACTAATTTCAATATATTTTCTCTAACCCACTACATCCAAAACATTATCATTTCAGTGTGTAACAAATATAAAAAAAAAATAATAATTCAATCTTCTGCACTCTTTGATTTGCGTTGAGTCTTCAAAGCCTGGTGTTAATTTTATACTTAACAGCACATCTCAATTCAGATTAGCCATATTTCAAGGGTTTCGTAGCTACGTGTGGTTAGTGGCTACCATATTCGCGCAGGTTGATAGTTTATAGTATTAAAAGGAACAAGGGCGGGGCGCCTGGGTGGCGCAGTCGGTTAAGCGTCCGACTTCAGCCAGGTCACGATCTCGCGGTCCGTGAGTTCGAGCCCCGCGTCGGGCGCTGGGCTGATGGCTCAGAGCCTGGAGCCTGTTTCCGATTCTGTGTCTCCCTCTCTCTCTGCCCCTCCCCCGTTCATGCTCTGTCTCTCTCTGTCCCAAAAAAAATAAATAAATGTTGAAAAAAAGGAACATGGACTATGATTTTGTTTCCCAAAAACATGGAAGGACATTAAGTATGGCTCTTAACGCGGCCTTCTTCATACCCAGCTGAGCACCATTCCAGGCCAGCGTTCTAGCTGACCACTGGCAAACCCCGGTTTCAAAGCACTCTGGGTAAGGCTTGCAAGGTCAGAATGACAGGCCAACCAGTGCCCTCCCAACAAACTGGCAGAGGGTACATTCCCTGGCTCCTGACCACAGGAGGTCCCAGAGTGAAGGGAAAAACAAGGTAACAGGTCCAAGCTCTTGTACAACGTACATCCTAGACAAGCTCCCTATTGAGCCCTCAGGGATTTCATTGATTGTTTTATTCTAATACACTCCATCTAGAGATAGGACTTAGTAATTCTTTATTAGCATACTCATTTTGACCCTCGCACAAATTTGGGGATCACATAAC